TGAAATAAAGGACACTCCATGTATTTTTGTATAGCGGTGTTCGACTGAGCATCGTTTTTAAGAAAGAGAGATTTTTGACACAGAAAAAATCCTTAACACTTGTTGTCTTACACATACCATGACAATTCTATGGCTGTAAGAACATTTCATTAATTAAGGATAAACTAAAAAGTTTAAAGTTATAACTTCCACACATAGAAAAGTGTCATATTTTTTCAAACAGACTATAATGGAATGAGAGTTAATAACTTTGCATGCCCATATTTTTTGGCTTTTATATTGTAAGTTATCTATTTTTACTAAATTTTTATCAGTGGTTATTATGAGTACTTTAAGAATTGAAAGTTGATTGAAGTGTTAGTCAATTTTTTTGAGGTATGCTATTTCAAAACATAGGAAGTTTTCTGGTTAGAATGATTTGTTATCATCATTCGATATCTAATAGTTTACTCCATTTAATATATGTTTTTCTAGTTGTTTTGTTGTCTACCTAAATTGACTATTTTCCGTTTGGTATGTATATGATCTCACTTGGACATAACTTTCGTCCTTTTAATGTTTTTCTTTTTTCCTTCTCATTCGACTCTTCTAAATATTTTTAGTGTGAGTTATGACTATTTTCGGCAAGCTTAATTTGAAGAATATGAAAGAAAACCTACTATAAATAAAAGTAATATCTTAAGCTACAAAATATATGTCTATTAACATAGATTTGTTGGCCTTCATGTCCCAAGTCGTTGTTGAGCATTTGAGTTATCTAGGTTAGACCCATCATTTATTTTTTTCATGTTCGAGAATATTTCTTTAACATGAGTCGAATCCAAAATTTTGATCTACTTATACTTTCATAATGCAACAATTATACGTACATATTTCTGAAAAAGTCGTAAAGTTGCATTGGTAAAGTATTTAGAAGGGCCTTCAGAGCAACAGTTTGATGAAGAATGAATTTCTAAAAGGGTCAACAATATTATTTTGCTATTGTTTCAAATTTATTTTTCTCCTTCTCTAAATTTTGTTAGACTAACAAAGTAACAATAACGAAAAGTACTGAACGTTTGACCTCAAACAAGTAGATTGTTTCTACAAAAATTATTTATGTTGTTCTGGTGTACATTTTTTATCGGTCTTAACTTGTTTATAACTAATATTGATTATCGAAAACTTTCACATATTTTTTTAACAAGGAGTTATTCTAACCATAAAATTATCAGATTCTATATTTTTCATGTACAAAAAAATAGAAAAAGTGATACTTCATCGCTACATAAAATTATCACTCAATTTTAACAAGACAATTATATCAGCAAATATATATTATGATAAATTATGTAAAAGATAAAAATGATTAGATATCAAGATGTTTTTAATCATTCATTTTATATTTACAATTCTTGAGATATGTGATAATGTAAAATCATTTAATTTCTGTTGAAATGTTCTTAAAACCTACTACAATTCACTTTTTTCCTTTCTTATAATAGTTGATTATTGAGAAGGTTGATCAAAAGCTTAGAAAGATTATTTATGCCCGCGTGAAGCGCGGGTCAATTACCTAGTAGCACAATAAGCCAACAAAACAATCTTTACTATGTGGTAGGGAGCGCATACACGACGCGAATCCAATGCGAATATTGGACACCGAATTGGAAACCAAAAGAAAAAAAACAATCATCAATATGAAACTTAATAGTCACAATACTAGATAAAAATGATGGTATTCATACCCAGGGGCGGAGGGATAGTATTAGTTATCGATACGGACAAATCCAATAACTTTTGTTTAGATCTTGTATTTGAATTAGGAAATCTATTAAATATGTATTAGTATTTAGTTAAAAAAACCCAGTAACTATGACAACAAGTTCATAATCCATAAACTCTAAATTCTAGCTCTGTCTGTGTTCATGCTCTAAGTAGATTAATAACTTGTATATGCAGAAAATAGTGCAATCTTTGGAAAAAAAAATAGTCTAAGACAGTGTTGAATAAAAAAATAAAATGTTTTGAATTTTCAGTACTTTCATATCTAAAGACGCATGAAACAACTAAGGGGACAAAAAAGAAAAGAATGTTAACAAGTATACCTGTACTTGCAATTGCAATGATTTAAGGTACTCAATAGCTTCATCCAGCATTGAAGCTTTGTCTGACTGAAATTAGTTGATAAAAGAGAAATTAAACTTAAAATGTGAAATGAACAACAGACTTACTATGATGAACAAAACAATTTAAAGATGATGTTAAAACCTTGTTGCAGTGCGGTATGAGTTCTTGTAGAGCCTTCATCTTCTCATTTATTCTATCTCGGCGTTTCTGCATTATTGAAAACACTCAAATATTGACATGAAATCACAATTTTTGAACCATCAAACTGAGAATAGTATATATATACCCTTTCAGAAAGATTATGGACCTCTGCTGCACGAGATTTCTTTGCCGATGTAGAACTTCTTACTTGCTTCCTTGCATCAGCAAATTCATATTCAACATCCTACGATAGTAAAAGAAATAGCTGAATCAGTAGTTTCAACAACAATAACTACTGTTACTATCTTCCAATATAATGAAAGTATTACCTTTACTAACACTATAAATTTTCTACATTTTCTAACAAGATTCCTAGCTAACATTAGACCTAATTAAGTAAACTTACTATCTATCAAAAAAAATAAAGATGATACTTTGTGACATATAAACAAAACAACTATTTTACTTAAAATACTAGTAAAAGGCAAAAATATTGATAATGAAAGAACCTAAGTAATTTGTTACTCTCTCTTTCGACACTCTTTCACAAGATTTAAAAAGGCTTTCCTATATCATACAAATATTTAATCTTAAATCATAAAATTAAAAAATAAAACTATGTATTTAATTAAATTAAAACACATATTTATAAAGTGATTTAGATGAAGTAGTTTATCATATCAATTTCTTTTGAGTCAAAGGTCTATCGAAAATTATTTATCCATCCAAAAAGAATTATATTTAATACCAACACATAATACAAAAATATGTTATTTAACTTGGCTTCAGCTGACATTTACACTCTCCAACTTTGAGTGTGCACAATTAAGATACCTAAACTTATATAAAATTGAACAAATAAACAAATTCATCCTAAGTAGTGTCCTACATAACATTTTTTTGTCCTATGTAGCGTTATACATGTATTATGCCACATAAGACATATATATCTATTTTTTTTAATTTTATAAAAATTTAAGTACCTATTTGTGTCATCTAATATTGAAGAACTTAGATGTCACGTAAATTCAAATTAAAAGATATATTCATATATTATACAAAAAGAGTATAATAATATTTGAAGATAAAAAAGTAGCCAATGAATTGGGAGGACTGTTACAATTTGTACTCTGTGACTGTGACTACAAGCAGATTACTCGACCTCTTTACAATCATCATGAAAATACGTGCAAGTAATTTGTGGTGCAGAAAGACACGTTCATAACGACCCATTTGGCATTACTATGAGGGTGAGGTGGCTTTCTTCTTGCCAACTGAAATATTTATTATCCGTTCTATTTTATGTAAGGTAATTTAACTCGACACAAAATGTAAGGAAAAAAAAAATAATTAAAATTTGTGGTCTAAAATAAATGATAGAAATTTATGTAATTATAAATAATTTCATTAAAGATAAAATAGATATTTTATAGTTAAATTATTACTTAATATAGAAATGTGTCATTCTTTTTTAGACTGACTAAAAAGAAAAGTAAGTCACATAAATTGAATAAAGTTCTATAAAAAATAATCTTACTTTCATTAGTATAAAAAATAAGATCATTAGACATTTTATTCTTCTCATGTTCTACTTATAATATTACATTCAGGGACAATTTGATCGTGCACAAGTTATTTTGAAATTAATTATTTTAAAATAAATTATTGTATTATGTATGTGAAAAAACTTATCTCATTATTATAGTATAAACCGTAGAATAAATAATTTTAAAATTATCTAATACCTCTAATCAAACACACAATAACATAATCATATATTTATTTCAAAATTATTACGTATATCTTATACCTTACAATAAATAACTCCTAGATTATGCAAGGGCATGTTTTTTTTTAAAAAAAAACATTAATTTTTTTACCAATTGAAAATGAAAAACTATTTTTCTCCCGAGTCCCGACTGAACATACTCTTAATCCTTATTATTCATTAAGAAAGAAATTAGAGCTAACAATATATACTATTATTTGTTTTTTTTTTTTTCACATAACATGTTTAAATTCATAAAATCAAATTATATTTTGATATATTTAGTATATTTTTAATTAAAAATTATAAAATTTAAAATTCTTATTTTAACCAAATATTAATTAATCCTTGTTTACGTAGTAGTAAACGGAAGCTCACTGGTTACTCACCTCACTCTGACCATCATTGTCGTCCGATTCTCTACCTTTCCGTTTCCGATCCTCCGCCGCCGCATCCGCCTCCTTATACGACGGCTGTGGCAGATCTGATCTGGTGCTTACACTACCTCCTGAGCCACTTGTAGATGCTGTCAATGTCAACTCGCATGCCGTCGTCACTTCCCTATCGCCGCTTGTTGTCGCCATAGCCGTCATTTCCACACCTCTGACATTCACGGCGGAAGCTAGTGGTACATCATCTGATACGCGTGAAATCATATATTCCGGTCCTGCTACTACCGGAGTCTCGTTTGAATCCACAATCGTCGATGCCCTAACTGAGTGGCGAGAACTTGATGTATTACCATTTCGTAAAATTGCTCCCTCAGGCAACCGTGAAAAATGCCCAAAATTCTGTAATCGATGTGGTAATTCACCCTCTGTACATCTAACCGGCCGTGAAGACGGTGGAGCTAGAGGCGGACGGATCTCTACAGTCGAAGTACCAATTTCTCCCGGCGGTGCAGCGGCGGAGGTCACGGCGGCGCAACTCGGTGTAGTATTTAGAAAATCATCGAAGGAGGAATCATCAAGTGGAGATTGAAGCCATGAGTTCATTTCATCCTCTTGCATATACAGTGGAGCTGAAGCTGCTACCGTTTCTTCTACGGCGGATTGCTCGGAAAAAAGGTTAGATTTCCTTACAGATCTTTGATTTTGGCTTTGCATAATTACTCGACCATTTTGCCATACTAGCTCCATGATTTCTTCATCTGCTCTGTAAAAATCCAAAAAAAAAAACAAAAAAACTAAGAACATATAAACCAAAAATTTCACTTCGAATTTCGAATCTCAACATCCTGCTGCTAGTAGAATTTCACCATCAGTATCGAAAAAATCAACAACAACAACAAAAATTACACTATGAGCTTAACATCCTGCTCATGATATTTCACGATCAGTATTGAAAATGAATGAAGAAAACTCAACTGACAGATAATTCTGTTGATTATGGCGTTTCAGGATCAGTATTGAAAATGAACGAAGAAAAATCAACTCACATATACAAATTAAACTTCCACTATGTGCTTACAAATTCTGTTGTTCATCGTGTTTCACGATCAGAATTTATTACAAATTAAATAACAACAAAACTTAGATGTAAAACTTACATTGTAGATTTCTTCGATATGTTGAAAATAGCAGAAGCAATATCAGAATAATCATCATCCATTTTGAAATCAGGAACAACGCAGTAATTCATCTTGTGATTTAATTCAATTAAATATTTGTTCTTCTTTTATATGAACTCGTTTTGAGCTGCTGTTGTGAGAATTGTTTTAGTAGTTTTTGACTTGCTATAATATCTGTGTGTTTTAATTTTGACTTGCTACCGACTTAGCTAGCTCGAAATATTATTATTTTATTTATATTATTATGATAATATTAATAGTAAGTAGTTGAGAGTCATAAGGTTTTCGACTTTAAATTTCTGTCTGACAAAAATATTAGATAATTCTTCCTATTTATTCTAGTCTTGATTGTGCGCAAAAGATATTCTAGCTTGGTCATTTGAATATTTACCTCATATTATATTTTTCTATTTTAATTTATGTGATATTTTTATTTATTACTTATAAGTTAAGTAGGTTGATTTTTGAAATTATATTAGGTTAGATTAAAAAATTTATTCATGTAAATTTGTAATTACAATTTTTTTTTGTTATAATTTGTTTTGTTTCTTGTTACTTGTTTCTCTAAATATTTTTCATGATTTTAAAGTTGTTAGTGGCGTATTTCTTGAATTTAAGATGATATGAAACTTTTCGTGGTATATTTGATTGTCAAAATTATTAAGCAACGTAAGCTCTGAGAACGATAATATTCATGTTGTCTTAGTTTTTTTGAGTATCGAGAATTATGAAATATTTGAGATGCTATGTCTTGATCTCATTACAAATACTCAACATTTTATTAGATATTTGAAATGCAATATCTTGATCTCTTTGTAAATATTCAAAATTTTATGGAATATTTGAAATGTGATAACTTGATTTTTTTTTATAAATACGGGTAATATCTAAGATTTTATGAGCTATTATGAAATATTCTATATGGCTATTCAAAGAAATGTCTCTATTTTGTGGCATGGGCTAAATTTAGGATAAAATAGCCTTTATTTTTTTTTAACAAACCTTAAAAGTTTGGAGATGAATTGAACTCATCTTAATCTTATCTAACAATCGATAAAATTTTGATATCTACGCGTATCCAGTGAGATAGACGTTCCAAAATTTAAATTTTAAATATTTAAAAATTATATGACGTGTATTATAATTTACAGTTTTTCTTGTCAATAAATAATAATAAAATTAAATTTTTTTACTAGTTTATATGATTTATTTTTTATTTTAGTTAATTTAAAAAAATTTGACATATTTCTATATTAAGTACTTTAACAATTTTACTTTAAAATGTTCTGATTTATAGTCACACAAATATCTATAACTTATTTTAGATAATAAATTTCAGTTTTTTATTATTTCTTAAATTTTGTCTTAAATTAAACTAACTCATATAAAATTTGACGAAAAACATGTTTTAAAATATTACAATAAAAATGGAGAGTGAGCTGAGCAATGATGAATGATTGAAAATCAGGTGCAAAGTGACTGACTGTCAATGAGTAGATAGCGGTTAAAGAGTACACGGCCTTTATTTCTTGTCTACGTTCGATATTTATATTGAAATCTGATTAAATTTAAATTCGCGTTAAGAAATGTTATATTTAGAAATGACGTCTACATATTGGGTAAGTTTGACTAAATTTGGATTTATGTTGAGAAGTCTCACATTTAGGGGTAACACCAACATATTGGGGGTAACTCGTGCTTTCTAACAATAGCAATTTCGTATCCAAGAAGACTCGATTACCACTCCATCGTAACCCTTTTGGTCAAGCCTTCTTGTCTTTAATATCTCTTTGCTGGCATTACCATTATAATACTATTAGTCTTCCGTTTCAAAATAAGTGTTATTTAAATAAAAATTATCTTAGAAATTCAAGATAATTAATAAAGTAATTTTTTTTAATTGTACTCTTATATTCTCTCTTGAATGATATTTAACTTTTAAGAAATATGTCTTAAATATAAATAATTTAAATAAATTATATCATATTTATTAATTTTTTTAATGAATAGAATTTTTATTAAGATTATTTATTCTGAGACAGAGTATGAGCAAAGAGACGAAATTGATTTTTGATGCTACAAAATATCTTTTTTCCCGTCATCCCCCCTTCACTCCAATCAAACGTCAACATATTTCTCCTAATAATACATATCCTTATCAAGAGACAGATGTCAAATTAAAATTTGATAATTTAGACCTTTTAAAAGATTAAGACATTTAATTTGTTATATTTTAAAAGTTGTAGATTGAATATATATCAGAATACATATACCTTTAATAATTGTGGTTATGACAACATGTTGATTTTCGCGGGTGGAAATGATAGATATTTCGTAGAATTAGTTGAGGTGTGATCAAATTAACTTAAACATCACACTACTTTAATTAGAAGTTTCAAATGTCCAAATCTCAAAAGTAAAATTTTTTAGTTAGTAACATTTTGTTTTTAGTGACATTTGTATAATGTATAAATTTAAAAATAGGTAAAAGTGGCTTCGATGACAGATAAGATGAGGGAAGCGAGATTTGGATGAATTGGACCTGTGAAGAAGAGGTGTGTAGATGCCCTAGTGAAAAGGCGCGAGACGTTGTGTAGGGCGCAAAGGAGTGGAGATCTCGTATTAGGGTAGAAGGTTAGTAAGAATAGAGTGTTGTCTTATATGCAAGGGTTTAGGCTTGTTAGTACCTATCGTAGTACTAGTCGTATACTTGTAGTTATTGCTTTTTGTGTCTATCGTCTTATGTTGTTTATTCGGTTTCGATTACTATACTATTTTTATTGTTGTTATTGCTTCTTTTGTCGACTGTACATTGTTTTTCTTATTTTCACTGTTATGTTTTCTTCTTCTATTACCTGTTTATTACACACTTGAGTTGAGAGTCTCTTGAAAATAGTCTCTTTATTCTCGTAGGATAGTAATAAGATCTATGTGCACTCTACCTTCTCCAAACAAATACAGAGCAAACAAAAATATTGATATAAAGCAAATCAATAAAATTTCAAGAAAATAAATACAAAACAAATTAAATAAAACTCAAACTATTTTCTTAAAAAACTTTCATTATATTAATAAATACATAACATATATTTACTCCGTTAGGTGATTTTCCTAATTATTAAACCGTTAAAAGTTTTTGATTCACGTATGACTTTTTTTATGCCATTTATAGTTAGGTCAGAAGTGTTTTATGTATACATGATAAGGTGCATATCTAAATCATTCACTTTATATCATATACAAAAATTTGTTTGAAATTCTTTTTGTAGGGCCTTAAGGAGACAAGAATATTGGTATCTATTTATCTATAAATATATCTAAATTATTATTCAATATATATTTGTTTTGGAGTACTAAAATAATAATAACCCCATATCCATCTTTATGTTATCAATGATTGGAGCAATACTGTATATAACAGTATAACTATCAATAAATAAATGGCCTAATCACCGGTGGCCATCTAAAGTTAGCATCAATTTTCACTTAGACACCTTAACTAGGCTTTGTTCATTTTAGACACCTCATGTCATGATCAATTGTGTCATTTTGACACTTTTTCGGCAATCTGTCAAATTTGTAAGGTGTGTGTAACACACTCGCTGATGACGTGTCAAAGTGACGAATTAAATAAAGACATGTGGCATATATAAAAAAATAATTATTAAATGATGAATTTTGAGTAGGAAAAAAACTACCAATGACTCATTGACATGTGACAATTCTTTAACTAAATAATTGAAAAAAATAACCACTTTTAATAAAAAGAAAAGTATACGCACACCTCCACCCCAAATTGTCTTCTCCACTACCCCAGCCCCACCTCAAACCCCAAACCCTCTCTCTCACCCAGATTTTCTTCTCCACCCAAAGCTTTTTTTGTTTGTTTTTGTCACTTTGTGAATGTTGTGAGATAAGAATGTCTTTCTTCTTATAGATTGATATTTGAATGCTTGATTTGGTGAATGGGTAATGCATTTACTTGACCTTTTTCGGAGGTTTTCTTTTTTTCCTGAATTTCTGGGTCAGTGAAGTCAAAAATTGTTGCTTTAGTACATAAATATGGAGTCCCAATCTTTCTACTAAAAATTATATAGCTTATCTATTTGATTTGGACTCTTTCCGTGATTATGATGTGACAAAGCATATAAATGGATTGGAACGTTAAAATTGCTTGTTGTGAATGTAGGATTTGATGATTGAAAATATGATTTCTTGCCATTTTTGAGTGTGTTTTTTCTTTCTTAAAATTTATGTTGATTTTTCTCAAATTATTTTAAGGAGGAAGAAGGACAAAAAAATAAGTGAAAATATTTAAGCTTAAAATTTATGGGAGCTAGAATTCACTTTTTGTTTGTGGCATCCTCAAATTTATTTCACCATGGAAAGAGTTAAAGCTTGAAAAATGGTAGCCAAATGGGGAAGAAGAAGAAGAAAAAAAATTAAAATTTGATAGAATGAGGCTCTCACACGCGTTCAGTGAGTGTATCACACTTACTATACCATCTCAGCAGAAAGTGTCAAATTAGTGCCAATTAGGACATTGTTAAGGATATCTTCTTACGGATTCTTATTATTTTAAATCAAAAGAAACTCTTAGTTAATTTGTTCAATCTCTTAAAAAATAGATCTAATGATTGTAATTTGTACATGTGCTTAATATCATTAATAATTAGAACTACTAGTAAGTAATTTTAAATTGTCATTTAGTCAATTTACTTTAGTTATATTATAATGATATGGGAAAGGTACACATTCAAATATTAGAATTTTGTTACTATTTGTTGTCCTTAGAATTATCGTATTGTTTTTGTTATTATTTGTTGTTTCTTGTAATTTCATTTTTTTTTTAGATTACTTTGGACTATTTCATCTTGAGTCGTAGGTCTATTGAAAATAATTTTTCTATAGATTGAAATAGATTTGCATACACATACACTACACTACTTATATTTAATAAAACATAATCTCACATTAAAATTGTTTTTCTATAAATTGACTTAGGGAAACATGAAACTCATATACTCCCTTCGTCCACTTTTAATTGTCATGTTACGCTTTTTGAAGGTCAATTTGACTAATTTTCAAAGTGAAATTAGATTACATTAATTCGATATTTTAAATAAAAAATTTAGATATTCAAAAACTATACGAAAAGTACTATAAATTGCAGTTTTTGCATATCAATAAGATAAAAAAAATGTATCATAAAATGTTAGTTAAAATTATTATTGTTTGACTCTAAAAATAAATAAATCATAATTATTAAAAATGGATGGAAGGAATAATACTTTTATTTTTACTATACAAAAAGTCAAATTAGGAATGCGGTCCTGTACAAGAACAGAGACGTTACAAATAGGGTTACTGTCAAAGATTATGATTGAGCTTGTAAATATTTAGGAAATTTTAAGCAAAATTTATAGTATTAAGAGCTAATTATATTTTATTTATATTTTTTTAAAATAACAAAAAATCCTTAAATTTGGTGAAATCCGAATACATTCCAAAAATGATATGATAGCGTTCCGATTTGAGATACATCCCTCAATGTCCCGATACATCGTGTCTCAGTTTCGGATACATCATTTAACGTCCCAATTTTAGATACATCCCTCAGTGTCTCGATACATCACGTAAAGTGATGTATTCAATCGATACATCGCATAAAGTGATGTATCCGAGAATAAGAGAGTAGAAATTTTTGTAATTTTTTCAAATGATAGTGAATTTTAGAGAATATGATAAAATATATTGTGTATTTAGGTAAATTTTTTAAAATATTTATACTAAAGCTTAACTTCTATATTCATCAATTCCAATTAATTAGGCCTCAAATCAAATATAGAACGTTGGGGAAAAAATTCAAGAATTAAAAAAAAATGCTATATCTGAATATTTACATTAATACATATATTGATGTCAAATAGATAATTAACAAAGATTGTGATAAAGTGATAAGTATTTTTTTATTCTATGAAATTAGTCGGTGCGAATTCGGACAGTGAATAAAAAATAAAGATAAAACATCAAATAGACGACTGAATTTTACTATCTCTAAATACATGCACCTGACAACGAAATTGACCTTATTTGATGGAGTGCACGAATGATATTTATTTCTTTGTTTAAATTCTTTTTGGCAAAATGCTAGATATAAATTAACTCATCTCTTCCATATTAACTGAACTTATGAGGTAATGCGTGCTTATTTAAAAAAAGATTCAAAAATATAATTTAAATCATATTTTTACTAATATTCTTCGTAAAATTAAAATATAACTTTGCAAGTAGTGTAATTTATTTTCTAAAAAAATATCAAACTTTATTAAAGAAAAGGATAAATATGAAAAAAAAATCGAATATCCATCTTAAATTTTTGAACAATTCATTTATTTTGAACAATGAAATAACTCCAAAAATTCACTTAATATGAAATAATTCTTAAATACTTCATTAATTTACTAATTATACCTATAATTAAAGTAAGCTACATAAATTTGATTTAAATATATAATTTATAAATTTTGAATTCAATGATTAATACTCTAATAGTGATAGATTTGACCACACTATAATAGTTTTTGTCTATTGTAAGTGTAAAGAAGTTCAATTTATTAATAGGGTCCCATTTTCCATTTTGCATGTTAATGCAAGGGGGGGAGTATTTGCCCCAAGAAAATTTGAAGTGGCAGTGTAGCACATGGGTGTTTATATTTTTGTAGACCCAAGTGACAATTTATTTATATTTATTTATACATTTCATCATTTTGTGTTGGGAATATGGATAAATATTAATATTAAAATTATTATCACTATCAAACAACATAACACACATCACTCTCACAATTTGCAAGTCTTGTAATTCAAGTTATATCCTAATCTAGATATTTATATTTGTTTGGATTTTTCCCAAACTAATATTGAGATTTTGTTTGGAAAGTTTTAGAAATTGAATTTGTTTGTAACAAGAATATACTTTGGTTTAATTTTATAAGTAGGGTTTGAAGAGGATAAGATACACGTAGACCTTTTCCTTAAAGCTTTCACCTCATGTTGTGGTAGGGGGTTTGGCTTGGAGAGATTGTTGCTATAGTCCCTTAGATCAAAAGAGAAGTTATCGAATTACTGATGTAAGAAAATATCATAAGTTAACATGAATCAAATAATATAAGACGAGGGAGTAACTATAATCAAAAGGAGATGGATAAGAGTTAGTATTTATGTTGCAATGAAACAAAATGATTAAATAGTGAATACACTTGTATTCTCATACACATGAGCTCAATTTTAATTATTTTAGTGTGATCATTTTGTCTACATTTATAATAAAGTTATCTTTGTGTGGCGTATAAGTATCGATTCAAGTTGTGGAAGTAACTATTACTATTTATATTAGGATAAATTATCTACATCATATTTTTTGGGGCACGGTTTTTCTTGGCTGCCATTTTTCTCATCACCCCTTTTCCCTGTTCGAATTCTCTCTTCTCCCTATTGATTTTATTTCACATCATTCTTATTTTGTGATTATTATTAAACCTAAAGAAGGGTGAGAAGAACCCCATGAATGAAATAAAACATGAAATCTTCCTTTCTTTGAGCTAGCTATTCAGGTCCAATTGAATTAAGCACGTCAAATTTACAAATATCCAAAAGAGTTGTGATATATCTTCTATAATATAATCGAGGAAAACTTTCTCACATTCAATATTTACGTCAAATTATTAATTGTGACATATCTTCTATAATATACTTTTATCAGTTGAGCAAGGTTGGTTGACATGTTCTCACCTCAATTTAGCAATAAACTACATGCTAAATTCATATAATTTGGTATAAATATCATATATGAATAAATTGTATACATATCTATCTGAATTT